GCACCAAATAAAGAACTTGTAGTCAAATTGTAGATATATGTAGTAAATTTGTAGATAATATCATAAAACTAAAATTCTAAGCATTTTCGAACTACACAAACCTGCATTCTCATCTACCACAATGGCATCAACTTCAAAATCTCTAAATCTGCCATAGTTATCCCAATTCCCATTCAATTTTAGCATTATTGGGATTTTTGACATGATTTCGTGTAGTTGAGAGAAAAAAGATGAAGAACAGATATAGGTTCGACAATTTGAGTACCGAGGACGATGAAGAACAATTTTGAATTCTACAATTTGTATTGCGTTGTTGAAGCTTCTGAAGCTCTGCGTTGTTTTTGAACTATAGTGAAAGAGAGAATTACGCAGCAATCAGATCTCTTTCCTTTTCAAATTTCGAATTTAATGTGGAAAGAATCAAACACAGATTTTGTGCCTTTTTTTCGCGCGTTTTAAATGGCAGAATCTGCCTAATTATGGATTGGTATATAAATTGTAGTTAAAGTGTGGACTGGGCGGGTAATTAACAAATTATGCACATTTTTGATAATAAGGTTTCATATATGGTATAGGAAGGAAAAAATACCTTGTTGTTATGGATTGGACATGTCTATCAACGAGGTCCCCATTTCTCTGGATCAACGACTAATTGGAGCCCCATTATTGGCCCATTCTACCTTGCCGAGAATCCCTCTCAACACAATAACAGCAACACCCCCTCTACCTCGACCAATCAGATCCTTCCACGTGTCAGAAAACCTCTTCCCTGCATTCTCAGCTTCCCTTTTGCGACGTATCAGAAAATTGAGCGTTGAAATTGAGAGAAATTAAAAACAGGAGAAGGGTCACCATTGCTGATAAGGAGGAGGAGATTTAACACTCCTCCTCATCAACCTGAATCACGACCTATTTAATTTACTCCATTATTATATGTCAATTTAGGATTTAGCTCAATTATTATACGTGAATGTTATATATTATTCGTCGCATTTGAAAAATCCATATATAGTTCGAGAAGAGGGTCATCCTATTTTCTTCCTCTGTTGCTCGAGCGAGACCGAGGTGGAAAAGGCATCGGATTTGACTTTGATATGGCTGAACAGGGACTTGACTCATTTCAAAGGGTACGGCAATCAAAAGGAAACCAGGAACTGAATGATGAGTTGAAAATGAAAGCAAATGAACTCGAAAGGCTTTTTGCCGAGCATAAACTACGTACTCCTCCTGGAAATCAATCTAATTCTATCAGCAGAATTAGTAGGCATAGTTACATGCAAAGTTGGCCATCAGCTACTTCATCCTACAGTAATTCTGTATTAGATAATGCTTTTGTCGATCAAGTGTTTGACAATTTTACTGAACCTGGTGATAGGATCTCTTCTGATGAGGTAAATAGTTTTGCGGTTGGTTCTCCAGGGAAATTTTATGATATGTATATGCAGAAAAGGGATGCAAAACTTAAGGAAGAATGGAATTCTAAGGGAGCAGAGAAAGAAGCTAAGCTGAAAGCTATGGAGGATAGCCTTGAGAGGAGTAAAGCTGAAATGAAGACTATGGACAGACTCAGATCATTCAATTCCAGTTCAAATTTTAGCAGAGACCAGGTATAATTCTAGTTCCCTTCTACCAATAGTTTGCAGCAATTTCACAAACACACACACATAAGGTGTAGACATTTCTGTTTCCTATTCCTAAAGTCACCAATCTTGAAAAAAGTTCCCTTTGACAGCAACAATCAGAATTTGGGCAAAGTGATGATAGAGAACATAAGCCTGGAGAAGAAGTTTCTACACAAAATGCTCAGAGGAAGAAACAACATTTACCTATCAAAACTTCATCTACACCTCAAGCCATAGTAGCATCTGTTACAAGGTCTCCAGTGAAGGCTTCTAGTAGTCCGTCTAGTCGCCGAAAATTTCAACCTGAAAGTCCAATTGCACGTTCTGTTCCAAACTTGTCTTACCTGAGAAAGGAAAACTCAGAGCCTTCTTCCCCGGCTGGTAAAATGACTACTCGTTCACAATCCAGGAACTATTCTCGCAGCAACTTACTGCACTCACAGTCCTTAAGAAAAAGCTCTGCTTTGAATTCTGAGGGTGTTAGTTTGGCACCTCTCAAATTTGATAAGGACAAGATGGAACATAGTCCTACGGGTGTAATTTCAGCACCTCCACAATCTGGCGATGAAAAGAAGGAGCAGAGTCTTACAGATAAAATTCCCAGCATTTCAGATTCGAAGACTTCCATAAAGAAGGTAAAAGATGCTGACTTCAGTTCAAGAGGTGGTTTGATTGAGACAAGGGGTTCTAATATTGTATCTAAGTTTGCGCACAATGTTGATGATGAGGATGAGGCTGATGATGATGATATGGAATTGGATTCCGAGAACTCAGTGAATATAGATGAGGAAGACTTTGAGAACATGATATCTGCAGTTGAGGAAATTTTTGATAATAGGACACCAAGACTGAGCCATGAGACAGAGAAGCTGGTAAATTCTGGTTCAGAATTTGGTGATATCCTGAGATCACCTTCTTCTGTGCCTTCTAGCTTCCTCTCTGGTAGATTTGCACATGAGTCGCTGAGAGAAAGTAGTCCTATCTCACAGACTGATCATCACCCTTTTTCTTATCCTCATGACATGTCTGATGTTGATGCTTCAGACTCTCCTGCGGGAAGTCCTGCATCCTATAATTCACATTTTATGGGTCCAATGGAGAGTGATTCAGCTGCTAGAGTGAGGAAGAAATGGGGAATGGCGGCTCAGAAACCAATCCATGTTGTAAAATCTTCTCAAAATCAATTGCGCAAGGATAAGGCTAGAGGATTTAAACGGTTATTAAAATTTGGAAAGAAAAACCATGGAGCAGATAGTTTGGTTAAAGACTGGATTTCAGCAACCACTTATAAGGGAGATGATGGCACGGGAAATGGACTTGATCCTCCAAATCGATCTGATGTTTGCCAATATGAGGATGAGTTTTTCAACGAACAAGGTGAGATATGATGTTTCATTTTACTAAAGAAAACCATGTTGTTTTCGTTTTGATTGATATTCAATGGCTATCCCTAAATTGATTAAATATTTTTAGTTTTTAATTTTTTCATGTTTCTTCTTTAAGCTTTTAATAAGAATATTCCAGCAGCACCATGCTGATGAATTGCTTTTTCTGATCTAGTTCATGAAATATCTCTATTTCACCACATGTTATGAGCTGAGTGTACCAAAATTGCAGGTTTACTTAATGAAGAAATTGGACTCTTCTGAATAATAAAACACAACTGTTTCATAGTGGTGTAAGACGAAGAGTATACTTATTCATCATTAAGTTTAATAAATTGTCAAAATGATTCTTGTAAAGGACGATGGGTGTGACCAATCATGCATTGGAAATTTTTGATATACATGTGGTTCCTTCAATAAACTTATGTATCAGATGCTGCAGCTTTAGCTTGTGGTTCTCAATTCCATTTATACTGTCGTTGATGATTCTTCTTCCTATTTGTTTTCTACATTAGGTTCTGAAAGGAGTAACAGTTTAGCGCATGACAGTACGAATACAGATCTTTCTGGTGTTTCCATTTTCTTTAGGAAAAATTCAGGGAGGATATTAGAATTTTATCGCATAGGAAAACTTGGGAAGCAAAGGAGACCTTTAGATCTTCCAAAGTTTATCTGTGTCGATTAACAGTTTTGTAGAATTAGCTTTGTTTAGTTTGCCCCAAATTCTTCTAATTCTCTGTTATACACAAGGAAACATATGTAGAAGCTTCAGATAATCGAGTTCAAAATTTAGGTTGTACGAGTATATAGACGTAAATGAAACTTTTTGGGAAGATTTAGTTAATGGGGTTTTCTGTTTCATTTGCTTCTGAGTACATCCTTTTCATGTGATCTTATTTTTCAGTATTCCTTTAAAATTATAGGTCTGAAGCTTGTTGATTTCAAGTTACTGATTTAGTGATCTCTCTGTCTAGCAGTTCAATCCTTGCACAGTTCTATTCCGGCAGCTCCAGTTAACTTCAAATTGAGGGAAGATCATTTATCAGGAAGCTCAATAAAGGGTGAATATTTAGTATAGTGTTGGTCTTTCTCAACTTATTCCTGTGTTTGTTGTTTTGTCCAATAAATGCCACCATGGGAAAGTATGTGCCCCTGGGGTGCTATAATTAAAGTAAGAAGGAAAAAAAGAAAGAGTAAGGGCCTCTATTGGGAGTTGTCACTTTGCTTCATAACCTTAAAAAACAGCTCACAGTTCTCTTGCAACTATCTTCCTGACTTATATTCTTCCTGATTCAAAGAGCATTCCCAATAAGCAGAACAACTGCAGTTGTTTCATCTGCATCTTATGTGTCTTGCTTATTAATCGATGCCTTAAAGCTGTATTACATTCGTCAGCAACGAACAGTATATCATCAAGTTTCTCAGGCATCTTGAACTTGTCAATATTTTGTACTGCAGAATATTCCTATTGAAGCTTGTAAAAGTTTTTGTGCGTTCAAGTATTTACATGTTAACTTCTATCTATTCTTACTATTTCACAGCACCGAGACCATTCTTTTCCTTATCATCATTTAGAAGCAAGGGAAAGGACTCAAAGATAAGTCTCCCAAAGGTATAAAAGTTCCAGTGATTAATCACATGGAACTGCCTTGACGGTGTGCAGCTTCAAATCATATTTTATTCAGCCAGAACTTGAGGTATGCGCGTGCTACAATCAATATTTATACTATTTGTTCTTGTATATAGTATATCATTGGGCTTTTGTTAGCCTTGCTTGTACTTTGGTATTAATTCTGGTTGTCTCGGTGTATAATGTTGTCTATTGCCTTGAGAGGACAGTTCCCTGTGGCGGAATGTTAATGTTATTTTACCTGTCACAGCATTCTTCAACTTTTATATTTATATTTTGCAGTAATTCAAGCTTGATTCTTTTAAATTTCAGAACTTGAGTTTATGTTCAGAATTGCATATTAGCAGTTTGGAAGGAGAAGCTTGATTCATGAGTAATTGTAGATCTAATATTTCATGTAAATGAAAAGAATCGTGTGGCTAAAGAGTACATTGAATGAAAAAGGACTTACCTGCACTCAACGTTTAGCAAATAGGAGATATTATAACTGAGATTTGAGTGCTGGAATTGGTGGGAGAATTAAGCTGGAGAGCAAGAGCACATGCAAAATTCTTGAAAGATCAAAGTTACAAGTAATTTAGCATGTGCCCTGCTTCTCCAGCTTAAATAACCGTCCACCTACACATATTTTCTCAACCATTTGCAGATTCTTCCACCTCTGCTTAAGGCGCTTCGCAAACCTCATCCAGTCCCAACCTCGGGAAAAAGGATAATAGTTGTAGTAGGTCGATGGTTAGCATAAAATAGCCACTCTAACTAATTCTGGATTGAGGCGTATTAGCTTGTAAAAAGATTTAGAGAAGAATATTATGCTGGCAATAGCCATATATGCAAGTACTTGTATATATATAGCATTAAGTTGCTTCACGAAAATGGATCCCATAATTAAGAAAATAGGCCAGTGTAGTGTATTTTAATCAAATGCAGAGATAAGGCCAAGCAAAATGAATTTTTTGCTATGGTGACTGTTGAAGTTGGCAGCCGAAAAGGAAATCCATGAAGCCGAATGCAGAGATAAGGCCAAGCAAAATGAATTTTTTGCTATGGTGACTGTTGAAGTTGGTAGCCAAAAAGGAAATCCATGAAGCCGAGTAGAAACGCCTGCTATTTTTTAAAGAATAATTTCTCAACCAAAATGCAACCTAAAGAGAGCAAGGGCAGGCCACCCACCCTATTTGCCTATTCAACCTGCAAAACTTTAGCTTGAGAAATACTTCGGAAAAGAAAAAAGAAAAAACAATTGTAGAATACCAAAACGATTATGTGCAACTCAATTAGAGCCGTTAACTCGCTTCTGAATGTCACGCCCCAAAATAAGATGAGACGTTTAGCTCTGCATCGAACTAACCAACCGATATAGTCATTATACTCAAATCATGCCCACATGAACCATATGATATCTTCATTTATGAAAGCATTATCATTTTACTGAAAATGTAAAAGGTACAACAAAAAAACTACAGTTAAACATCTTTATAACATCCTCGTTTGTTCCAAATATTTTTGGATGTTATAGCGAATTGCTGTTATAGAGAATATATATTATAACAAAATATGACATTTCCGAAAAAATTTGACTTTTATAGTGAAGTGTTGTTATATAAGGATGTTGTTATAGAGAGGTCTGACTGTAGTTATGAATTTCTTTGTCGCAAAGTGCTTCGTAACTCGTAAGTACTATTTGGACGACTTTGATGTTAGTGTTACCCTTTGTCTATAATAGTTGTGCTGAGAAATACGCTTTGATGATTCATGATTGAACATGTACATTGAGCTTGATATCTATCAGCAATCTTTATTTACTTTTTGAACTGAAAGGAAGTGTATAAGAAACTTTCAAAATAAAAAGAAGAACTATAGGCAATAATCACAAGAATTTGTAAATTTCAACGTGAAGGTACAACATCTTATAAGTGTGAGTGTGGTGCGAATAAAAGTATAAAATTTTATGATCATAAACTCAAGTGACTTGGGAATTCGTAACAAGTTCGAGTAAGTATAAAATTTTAGAAGCATATATCAGACGAGTATGTGTTTGCTTATTCACATTCTGAATCTCTAATCAAGTTCTTGATAAATAATCACGCATAAACAAAAAGCTTTAGATTAAATTGAGAAGTGTTTGAAAACTGAGAAGTATAACATCTCTATAACAACATTCTTATATAACATCAGTTCATTATAAAAACCAAGCTTTTCCGGAACCAAATGTCATATTTTGTTATAATATATGTTCTCTATAACAACATTTCGCTATAATAGTAAAAAATATCCAGAACAAACGAGGATGTTATAGAGAGGTTTGACTGCAGCAGATAACAAATAATCTTTTGGACATAACTTTAAACACAAAAGAGAGGGGAAAATAGGGTTGTGCAGGGATCGGAACGGATTTAGCACATTTCGGATCGGATTTCAGATTTCGGATTCTAGAAAATGCAATCCGAATCTGATCCGGTATTATCCGAATTAATATCGGATCAGATCGGATTTTCAAATTTCGGATCAGATATTATGCCTCAAAGTTACAAACTCATATGTATATTTTCTTTGTAAAAGAGGCAATACAGTAAGAAAAATTCATGTTTATGCAATTATGAGAGTACTATGGTGCCAATATAGCTAAATCCATCAATTATAAAGGAAATAACTTGGAGAAAAATGTAAAAGAAGTACTAACTAATCGAAATTAAAGTTTAGTATTTATACATGCTCTAATAATTTCGGATTTCAGATCGGATCGGATCGGATCGGATTAAAATTATATCAATCCGAATCTGATCCGAAATCCGAAATTTTGATAAACACAATCCGAAATCCGATCCAAGAACGGATCGGTTCGAATTTCGGATATCCAATCCAAATGTACAGCCCTAGGGGAAAAGGGACAAATCTTTAAACCAAATTCTATTTGTGCAAATATTGATATAGTATCGGTCACAAATATTGTTTATCAATTTCTACTTCAAGTACTATTTTTTTTTAAACTTATTATTCAAATGGCCTAAGCATTCCATATGAGTCTTATATTAATAATCAGAGTACAAAGAAATAACATTGTGAAATATGTTATTAGATTTGATTTTTAATGATGCAAATAATATATCTGTGCAGGAACTCATGGATAGCAATTCAAAGATTGAAGGAATCAATTAGAGAAGATCATGGAATCAAGGAGTAACTACGAGATGGAAGCATTTAATCAGGGAACTTAAGGAAAGCAATCCGAGATTAGCAAAGATTAGCAAATCAACGGACAACTACGAGATGGAAGGAATCAAGAAAAGCAATTCGGGATTAGAGTAATCAATCAAAGCCAAGACGGAATCAATCAAGCCTAAACTTAAGGAATCAAACAAGTCGAGTGTATCCAAATCCGGAAGGTGCAAGATCTTGGGAAGCATATATGGAACATCAATCAAGGATCTCGTAATTATAGCCGTTGCTGTATGACCTTATTCTTGGAAAGAATCAATTTCTCTCCAAGGATCAAATCTCTTGGGTTGACAAATCTCTCCAGAAACCAAGCCTCTCTCAAAGTATTTAAACCTGTATCTGTACCCTAGAACCACATACTTTGATCGAACCAAATACCCTCTCTTTATTCTACTACAAACAAACATTGTAGCTCTACTAGATCTGCCGTGTAACAAGTTAGAGAAGAAAGAGAGAACAACATTGGTGAGACATTGTATCAAAAGAAACGAGTGAAATAGAAACTAAGCGATCGGTGTAGATCACACCATTCTCTGTACTCTCGAAGAAACTCATTCACTGAAAAAGAACTCACTTGCAACCCAAGGGGACTGGACTAGGATTCACATTGAATCCGAACCAGTATAAAACTCTGGTGTCTTTAATTCCTGCATTTATATTCTGCATCTTAAATTCTGTCTTTACTAATATCAAGTTCTTATATACAGTCGACTAATCGTAAAACTAGTCAACTGCTAGCTATTAAGTTTAAAAACAAACAATTCACCCCCCCCCCCTCTTGTACTTTCAATTGGTATCAGAGCAAGGCTCACACTTTTCTTTTTGCTTAACAGTTTGTGAGAAAAGATCATGGCTAATCAAGTTATCATAGGAGCACTTCTTCAAGAAGGTACTTCCTAAGTAAGGCCACCATATTTCAATGGACAACACTTCTCCCACTGGAAAGTACGTATGGAGATATATGCAAAGGCATATGATGTTAAAGTGTGGAGAGTCATAAAAAAGGGAAACTATCCTCTGCCGGCTGCCACTCAACCTCTTGCTGATCCTGAAGATATAGACTCATATACAGATGAGCAAATGGTGGTTGTGCAAGTCAACAACAAGGCAAGAAATTTTCTCTACAATGCTATAAGTGGTGAAGAATATGAAAAAATCTCCAGCTGTGATACAGCCAAAGAAATGTGGGATAAGCTTGAAGTTACATACGAAGGAACCAGCAAAGTGAAGGAAACACATATCAACATGTTAGTTCACGATTATGAACTCTTATAGATGAAAGAAGGAGAATCCATTGAGGAAATGTTTGCCAGATTCAGTAAAATCATTAGCGACCTAAAAGCTTTCGGCAAACCATACTCAAGTGGTGATCAAGTTAGAAGATTCTCAAAAGTTTACCAACCACATGGCAAACTAAAGTAGTCACACTTGAATAACAGGACCTGAATAAATTATCTTATGATGAACTTCGTGGAGAACTCATAGCCTTCGAAAAGACGCATCTCAAGAAAACAAACCAAGAAGAAAAGAAGAAAACAGTTGCATTCAAGGCCACAACTGAGATAGCTGAGAATGATATCAATGATAATCCTGAAGCTCTTCAAGAACAAATTGCTATGATGTCAAGAAACTTGGATGGCTTAATGAGAAGATTCAGGAACACGAGAAGAGGAAGGATTCCACCTGGGCGAACCAGGCAATATAACGAACAAGATAAGAATGATGGAACATGCTATGAGTGTGGAAGATTTGGACATACTCAAGCCGAATGTCCAGATCTAAAAAGAAAAATCTCCAGAGGTTTCAACAAAAACAAATCATTTGGAAGCTGGAGTGATGAAGACAGTTCAGAACACGAAGAAGTAGCAAATCTTTGCTTCATGACAATTTTGGAAAACGATATGAACAAACTTTCAGGATGCTGGACACACGAGGATATTTCAGACGATGAATGCAAAGATAACAATGAAAACTGCTTCATGGCTCGAGGTGAAACAAGTGAGGTAAGGTCTTATAATTGTGAAAGATGTAATGAATTGCAGGATATTCTTGATCTCACTTTGAAAGAGTCTCAAAAAATGATGGATGAA